GCTGCATAATGTATACAATCACGAGAATATAGGCAAGGCATTTCTTGCACTGGGTTGTTACTTAGTATTCAATAACTCACCGCCGAATCAAAAATACAATTATTGAGATCCCACTGCAGAAGAAAAGCGTAGTTCAACTTTCTGGCAAAGCTCAAAGTTCAATTACCCTGTAGCAAATCAATCAAATGTGTGTGCAGCAAGCAATGAAATAGCACAGATGTCACCTCACTGCTTTCAGCTGAACATGTTTTTTTCTCTTTTTAAAAATCAGCAAGTAGCACTAGGAAATATTTACAAAATTCACATTATGCAGAAGATAAAAAGGAATCTATCAGTGTGATTCAGAGCAGCAGAGAACAGTGTTCAGGGCATATGAAACAATAAATAATGAACATTCATCACTAGTAACCTGGCACGATTATTTTATTTTTATAGACACCAAGATTCATGATACTAGTTTAACATTGTATCGGCTGCGTTTCAACGGCTAGAAGCCAGGCATGCAGAGGCAATCATGCATTGAACCCTGTGCAAACACGTTAGCCAATGCTGACGGCTGTACGGTCAGGACACTGGACGTGTATGTGCACAGCGAATGCCACTTCACCGAACACCGTGTGTTCTGTTTGGATGGTGTTGGTCTGAGCTACGCAAATACAAGCTTACCAAGGGGAGCAAGGTGCTACACTATGCACGTAACAGCTACACACAACTTTGCTGCTTGAAGTGACATTTTTTGCACTTTTGTTATGACCAGTACAAAACTGCACTCGCGTTCATGAAACTCGAAGATACGTACCTCCTACGGGGCTTCATTAACATCTCCAACAGACTCCAGTCATGCGGTAAGCTGATGAAAAAATACCAGGGACATATTATGCTATTTACTAGCAGCTAAGCGAGAAAGGATGACACAAAGTTTGCCTTGACTGGAATCGAGATCTTCAGTTTGCAGCAGGGGTCATTACACAAGGTTTTTTTTTTTTTTTTCTTTTTCGCTATTAATGCAACATTCACAGAGCTGATGAAAAATTTTGCAATCACTTTCTTTCAAATGGCTGAAGCCAACTTTGAAGTTAAGTCCCTCGACTTAAACATTTTTTGCTACAGTGTACTGTTTCATTTTGTTGTAATAATTTCTGCTTTCCCTCTGCCTGTGACTGTTATTTAGCTACGGCTACAACAAATGCTTTTTTTAAAAATGGAAAATAAACAAATTCACAAATCTGATTAAAAATGAGCCTGAATTTTGAAAGAATATCAATACCTGAAAACAAAATTGTATTTAAAATTATCAAAAGAAAACAACTGATTCATTGCAAATGATCAAGTACATAAAACAATGGAAATTAAAAGAGCATCATTAAATACACAAAGTTAATTCTCACTGCAGTTGTGTAGAATTGGTATTTTGAAACATGAGGCATCTTAAAAAATTTTATTTAGCATATCCAAAAACAAATGTTACAAAAAATTTTCTACAAACATAGGCAAAAATGTTTAAATAGGATAATTTAATGTAAACCAAACCCCTTTAAAATATGCAATAGTGTAATCAGAGGTTATTTACATCCAGTGAAGACAGAACAACCTCCACTAATGCTAAATATCATCTAAGCAAATAATTAATTTCCATAATTTCTTAGAACAGCGATACTTATATTTAAGTTAGTCTTAGGAGATAAATCATCTCAATCCTAATACAAGATGAAATTCAATGTTACATTCAGAAGTGGGAGAGGCAGTATCCTGACTATTCATGTCATCCGTCAAGACAGTACTGCATTCAGACTTCCAAAACTTATACAACTATAAATTTATAGTATTTATTGCATGACAATGCAATTATAGGATAGGTAAAACTACTAAGTGATCTGCAAACAAAGCCGTATAAAAACCCAGTACAAATGAAATTTTATTCTTCAATCAGATTAGAAAAGCCAGCCACAAGACTAAGCTATTTTCCCACATTTCACAGAACAGAACAAAATATTTTGTAATTTGACATTATTACAACATGGAGAAAGCTGTTCATGTCTTAGAGGAAATACATTTGGATAACCGTCCCACGCAAGTTTTGTTTACTTATGAAATTTATTCACCAAGACATAAGTTTATAGCCCACAGTGGCTTTCATGCTCATGTACGTGGAAAAGGCATAGCCCAATGATCTATTTGATCATTTTAGATATTTGGTTGTGGCTTTTTTGGGAAGACAAGCATCATTTTTGCATTGCACATAAAAGTATCTACAGGATACAGCAACATATTCAATTGAGGAGTCAGAAACATAAAGCTGTTAAAAGTCATAGCAGAATATAGAGTAATAAAAAAAAAAAAAGAAAGAAAAGAAAAAAAAAGAAAAAAAAGAAAAGTCAGCTCATCTTTAAACTAGACTGCCCATGTTCAGGGGATGATGACAGCTGCTGAATGACCTAATGTGAAATGGGTGATCTCCATGCATTTCCTACAGGGAAGTCTTATATCCAAACAAAAAAAGTTACTGCTAAAACTACTAGCTGTGCTGGCAGGCACAGGAGATGCCAATATGGCATGGACATTAAAATACCAGCTCTTTTTGAGGTGTTTCCTGCATGTGGAGATGAGGCACTTTGTTTTGGTAACGTCTGCCTAAAGCAGTGTATTAACTGTTGCTCAGTATAAAAGGAGCTTTAACTTCTACAAGTGGCAATTCAGGACACACAAGAGCTAAAACCACTTCAAAAGAAAAGGCCAGACAGTCCAAAACCAAGACGCAGATAATTCTTACTATAAGTGTCCAAAACATATTGTACTTATCTACCCGATATCTATTATAAATAATAAATATAAGTAAGAGTTATCTTTTTGATAACAGTTTGGCCTGGAGTTCATCCATTAACTCTAATACAACTTGCCTTAGTAACTGAAGATCTCCAGTAGACAACTCAGGCAACCTACTCTTTGCCAAAAATGAGAACATAAAATTAATCATAAAATCCTTACTTCATTTGTCAATACATTATATCAAATTCTTACAGAAGTGTGCATATACGCACCCATGTATGACCATACATTTCTTTTCAGCAGCTTTCTGTAAAATTCCTTAGGGAAAAGACAGGCCAAGCCCCCATAAGACAGTAGACACCAGCACACATCTTGGACATTAACAGCAATTTCAAATGGATGGCACTGGCATTTCATTTGGGGTCTTTGGAACAAGATGCAGTTTGGGTTTCTGTAGTAAGAAAGCCAACGTATCACAGTAGTCCTTCAGGGCTAAATACATTTCAGTTGGTGCTAACTGATTAGCAGAACACAGAACAATACTAAAGCTAATCCACGCTACCTTGGTGTGGGAAGAAAGAAAACTGAAATGAAATTCACAAGCTAAACTGAGCAATGAACTTCTAAATCAAGCTGGGAAAAAAAGAATCGCCACACTACAGCTTGCACCAGCGTAACTATCATCAGCACCTAAACCAGCTGGTTGAAATTCTGTACAAGCCTCTATTCTAACTTGCATCAAGTCTGACAGAAATCCACATCTCTTCAGCCTCAAAAAGTCACTCCAGGCTAATGCTTGGGGGTACGCCTGCGTTGTGTTCTTAGAAATACAACACGCTGGGTCCTCACAGTTCTGCCCTACGTCAGGTGGGCTCCGCAGCTCACAACTGGAGACAGCAGAGCCAGGCTGGCCACACAACTTCTGGAGCCAGCCTGGACTAACATGCTTCCCAGCACCTCTTACTCTGATGGGCACCTGTAACCTAAGAGCTGTGAAAAGAAGGCTTGTGTACACTGGGAATGAAGTGCGCTTTAAGAATTCATGTCATGGATAAAAGCACTACACTGTTCTTAGAAACAATGAAAAATGTAAGTAGTTTTATTTTGTTATAACATATTGTTAACTTTGCAACAGAAGCACCTTGGTGGAACAGATAAGCAATAAATATATTTGTTGTTGAAAAAAGGTATCCATATTCTCTGCAAAGGATTTCCATAGCCACCAATACAAGGTGCACACGCGGTACATTTAAGTACAAAGAGGCAAAAGAATATCAGGATTTGAGGAAGGGGTTTTTATTTCATAGTTGGGGGAAAAAAAGCCACACACACTGAATGCTTTCTCTTTTAAAAAGGGAAGTGATACCTTTGGGTTTATGTATTTATGGATAATATCCTGGTCCCAGTGAAGACTATGGCAGGAAGAATATGATCAGGATTTTATCCACTCTTGAGTATTTCAGTATTTCATTATTTACCGCTGCATGAACTTTCAAGTTCTAAAGTTAACATATGCACACTTCTCACCTCTAGAATACACAAGTGAAAACAGATAGGAAAGGCAGAACACAGACAAAAAAAGTACACTATTAAATTCACTAATTAGTTATCTCGAATTGTTAGCTTCTCAACACTTACAGAATTTTGAGTTGTAATAGCAAAAGCTTTAGAATAGACCTCTTCTGCTCGGAATCTGAAATTATTGCTATTATGCCAGCATACTCTTAACGAGATACTGGTTTGAACACAAAGGCATACTGCTCTCAGCTTTCCAAGCGCCCAGGATAGGGTACAGCATGTAACAAAAATCCAAGTGAGAAAAAGGAACCAACTAGACAAGAGGCAGTAATCAGTCTCCTTTAGTGTAAATAACTATCTAAAATGCTGCTTAAGGATTCCCTATTTCAGGCAATTCTGACAGTCTGCAGTAAGAAAGGGGAGGGGATTCCACAAATCTTGTGGGGAATGTGGACAACGTTCTGAATAAAACAAGTGACATCCCTCAAAGCAGAGGTACTTTTGAGAAGTATGACAGAGCACCACATTTGTACCTGCACTACACTCTCAATAAATTCCTTATCTTTTAAGACCTGCCATAGGGGAAAAAATCCCAAACCCAAAGAACAAGTGAATCTAAACCAAAAGTGAAGTTCATTGTACAAGTCCATTAAATTACAGAAATGCATAATAAGCCAAGATAAAGTGCTACAAAATAATTAGTAATTTTTAAAGAGTCCATCGCATTCTTCTTGCTTTACTTAGCACTGGTGACAACAGGAGATAGTGCAATTGCACTGGTTGAACCGGAATTCACAATGTCTTCGTATTGCGGGGGTGGATCTAAATGTTGTTCAGTTTCACTTCTTCTCATACTGATTTCACCAGTGGCTTCCTCATATGAAGGAGGAGGATCACAGTTTGAGAGCCTTGTAGATATTGAGTCTGACCGTCCATCCGTATAGCTCAGACCTCCTGGAGAGAGCCCACTGACTTCATACATTTCCTCCTGTGGGGAATGAACAATGCTGAGAGGCGGCGGAAGTGGACCTCTGCCGTCAGCCACAGCACCATCACCCATTGCTTCGTGGGCTCCCCTATGCACGTACACCGACTGGCTACGCATTTTCTTTTTAAACAGGCATCTCCAGATGACAAAAATGACAATGAGGATAACAAAAAGGCCAATGATTAATGGAAATGCAAGGTAAAATGAATACCAGGTATGTCCTGTGTTACTTTCTCCCTGAAGTCCATTTTTGTAGACTTTCCAGAACTCCTTCTAGAAGAGCAAGACAGGATAAGTCAGAAACTATAAGACAGTTAAAAAATACACTGTAATCAAGCCATTTTAAATTAATTTAAAAAAAAAAAAGAAAGGTATTTCAAGTACTGATGATTAAAATAAGAACAGGTATGGAAAAGCACTCCCAATAAACTTTCAAATTTTCTTCTGATGTGGTTAGTGATACAAAAGGGTTTTGTTTTTTTAGACCAACTCCTCACTGCTTTTAAGATTCCTGTATCTGCACTTAATATCGACAAACCTGCAGCACAGACAGGCATAGGTAAGAAATCTCATCAGCATTCACATCAGCCATGTGGTGGATCAAAATTTTTCAGCACCACTCAAGGTAAAAGTTAGGGAGTTTTGTTTGTTTGTTTTAAAATTGTAATAATATACTAATACAGTTTGACAGGGAAATACTGTTTCGGAATGACAGACCATTTTGGCAAAGCCCAACTATGTTGTACTGTCATCTCACACTTTAGACTTCCTCCACCCTCTGGTGCATAAAGCAATTCTTGTCAGCTTACTTGGAGTTGATTCAGATCCTCTGTTTATAGTTAAAAATAGCTTCAGCACTATAAGAATATTACACAGCTTATTATATTCCAGAAATTTTGACAACATAGCTACAGATAAATGGAACAGAAAGTGAAAAGTGAAAATATGAACAAGGGAAAACAAAGATGAAGGGGGACACCAGTACTTGAAAGTACTCTTTGCTATATTAATATACACAAGTAGGAGCACAAAGATCATGTTGCCATCCAATTTTCTCTGCAGCGAAGGCTACGAAAAACTAGTACAAAGAAAAGCATACCCTGCCTCAAAAAAGTAGTCATCCTCACCAGTAATGTAAGAGCTCTCCTACTAAGAAACACTTCCACTGTGTATTATAGCCATGTATAATTTCAGAAAAAAAAAAATTAAAAAACCCAAACAAATCCACGCCAGAAACTCTGAACTCTTTAGTTTCCTTTAAAAATGCAGAGACCGATCCACTCATATTCATGCCAGCGTCTATTTTAAGTAATAGCACATATCTCACATACAAGTACTTATAAAATACTCACCAGGTAAAATTGATATTGCCATTGCTCAGTTATTAGTAAATGATGTATTCAGGTTGCAGACTGACTGCGCACAGACAAATCAGATCCATCAATTTTTTTTAGTTCAGGACTGCTGCCACATGATCAGCATTAAACAGATAATGCCACCAAACTTATCTCAGAGGCAGCTTGAGTCCAGAAGCAGCACGGCCCCTCTAGCGTGGAGGCTAAGCTTGCCCTATGCAAAGCCAGGACCAGGACACCATGGGCAAAACACATGTTCACAATGCTTCTGGATCAGAATTTACTAAGGTTAGGAGTAATACTATGTGCATGAAACAACGGGCTATTATCTAGATTTTTTTTTTTTAAAGATAAATTCAGTTGTTCTTATCCCTATACTCAGTGCAAGTTCCACAAAAAAAAAAAAAAAAAAAAAAAAAAAAAAATCTTAATTCCTACAGCAATCCAGGATCAGGTGTTTTTCCTGACTTGACATCACAAGCAGGTCACCACAGTGTCCCTCTTTGATGTGAACCTAGGTCCAAATCATCTAAGCTAAGTCAGATAGCATTGACTTCAAACAAAGTAAGCAAGTCTTGGAAGATGGACTAACCTCTCTAGATACTTCTCTGCAAGGGCCTTCTTTGATGCATTGTTCCACAGTGAACTCCAGATCAACTGTGCTGACTTTAGAAAAACATATTTGAGGGGGGAAACTAACATTAAAAAATGAAATTAGCTGCACAACTGAGGACTTTTGGGATCTCTGCATGATAAAAACCAACAAAACCAACGACCTCACTTCTCCCCATCAGATCACCAGACAATTAAGAAGATCTGTTACCTATTACCTTTCCATATGCTTTGAATACAACTAACTAGATTCTTTAGCGGAATAAATAATAAATACATTCTCAACTAAAATAGCAGAAAAAGATTCATTAGGATTATTAACTGCTATTAACTGTTACTGGAACCAAGCTTCCCACTTCACTGTTCTGCTGCCTCAACAGCAGCAAAGGAATAAACTGGTACAATGTTTGGTTTTGAGGCCAAAGTTGCAAGTATTTACTGAAAGTCATCAAATATACTGTGCAAGGATGTGTCATTTTAAAGACTTGTGGAGGAGAAAGGTAGTTTTGATGAGAAAGATGAAATCACGCTTTTCCCTTGGCAATATATTTTGTGTTGCAGACTGCAGAGGAAATGCACCCTCTCCGATGTTGAGGGTAATAAGTTGTGACTGGTATTTTAGTACTGTTTCCACGTTAGTTCTAGCTCAGCTCTATCTGCTGGAGAAAACGTCTCTGTACCTTCTTCAGAAAGGTGAAATATCAGCATCTCTCCTTGTCACTCTGCAACATGGCAAAGCAGCAGAAAAGCTGTTTTCCCAGAGTGGCAGGAAATTAATTCAGAATAGGGTGTGTGGCTGCAGGGGATGTTCAAGTTGATGGTGAGACCAGACAGGTGCATAAAGAGCTTAAGGTAAGAGTTTAAATTGCCTTAAGGATGAAAATAGGTTAGTGTCCACTTTCATTTGCATGCAAGGCAAAGCGAATTCCGAGACAGTTTAGACACACACCACATCAAAAATTATAGTGCTTCACACCTAAGGCTATCTTATAGAAACAGAGGAATAAAGTTCTGCACACACATGAAAAATACTAAGAAAGAAACACTTGTTCAGTCATTTAAAAAAAAGCTTTCTTTAAATTCTCCTCTTTGGGGGTGTGTGTGCGGAAACAAAACAAAAAAAACAAACCGACAAAAAACAACCACCCAAAAATTTGCTCGTGTACTAAACCCAAGGTTTCCAGCTTGCATTTTTGCAAGCCAAATCTCAGAGAGAAGCACAAAGACTGTTAGTTCAGACTGACAGAATTGACAGGAACTGCAGGAAACTAATACTTCAGGTTCAAGTTGCACAGCTGCCAAGCAGCTCCCCCTCTGCTCTGCCATCCTACAGCTACGCTGCACTGTAAAGTGAAGGCACAGGAGGAGGACAAGCCACCTGGTCAAAGTCAAATCATGCCCAACAAAACCACAGAGAAGTTGGATGAATTTGCATGGTGTGAGGATTTGTACAAACTGCTATGAAAAAAAACAAGAGGGGGAAATACTGGAAACCTAGGAAGTAGCTGTAGAGCTCATACAGGAAGTTAGAGAGTAACGTAAAAATTGGAAAACTCACGGCACAAACATCCCTTCCATCGTTGCTGGTCTCTTAAACCACCAACAAAAAGCACTTACTTTCTACTTGACAAAATTATTAACTCGTGATTTATGGAAAGGACACTCTAGTAATCGTTTATCCTCGAGTGCTGTACAGCTGGGAATACCAGGCATATATGACTTAAAAGGCTGAAAAACTAAGTTAAGCAGGCCACAGAATCAGATAACCGCAATGGAAAAGACTTAGAAAACATCTAACATACATTCCCGCCAAGAACTACTTTTCTGAATGTCCCTTACCGCTTTGGCAAATCCAGTTTGAAATAATCAAAAGGAATTCTGAAGGGCATCCCACACAAAGACAGTTACAGCCAATTTGCCAGAATTTTGTTTCCCTTTTATTTCTAATACTTCTCAGAACAGAATCAGCATCAGTCAACTGGATCTGAACGCTGAATCAAGTAAGGAATCCACATGAAAGTTAAGAGACTCACACCCTGCTGAGAATTTCAGCTGAGGCCTTTACTACATTTGGCAGCATCGTCAGCCTCAAATGATTCTTGCTCGATTGTCTGACTTGTTTTAAAGGTGGACTAATAATATGCCAGTCAGAAGACTGCTTGCTATTTAGTAGGTAGAGGATACGAACAAAGCAATAATGGGAAGTGAGTGTACCTGCTACACTGTTTTCTTCTGGTCTGCCCTCAATTTCAGGTGGCAGGAAAAGATTCACCTCTTCTCTTCTCTTCTCAGTATTTATCCAGCATCCGTAATTAGACACATACTGATACTCGATCACATCATTTTAGATCTCATGCTGACAAGTTTTGAGTTGCTTGCTAAGCTTTTTAGTATTTTGTTTGTTTGTTTTGCTAGAACAGAGGTATACAGAGAACCTTGCAATTTTTGTAATACTTAAAATTTGTGGGAAATTTGAAACACAAATAAAGATCTATGACTTCTAGCTTTTAAAATCTTCATGCAGTATAATTCAAAAAAATGAGTTAAAGGATATAAAATTGCTTCAATCACAGCCAGGTACTTTGCACAGTAACCTGTGAACAAATCTTTGAGACTCCCAACAACCTTTGACAACTGACCAGTGACCGCGTACAGTGCTGCCTGCAGGCTACAGGTACTACAAATAAACAGCTTTACTAGATCAGACCTAGGGTTTACCTAATCTGTTACCTTCTCTCTGACAACAATCATTAGAGACTGCTGAAAGAAGAGTTCAAACATAAGCAGGCAGTGATACTCTCCCAGGTTCCACATATTTGTACTTCAAGAACTTCCATTAGCCAAAGCTGACCCCTTTTATTCAATGGTCCCAGATTGATGTATCTTCCGTTCACTTATATTGTTGTTCTCTGAACCTAGCTTTTAGGATCTGAGACATCCTGTGGCAAGGCAGTCCGCAGCTCTATTATCTGTGGTGAGAAGAGCTACTTCTATTTGCTTTGAACCTGCACCTTCTAGTTTGAGGTCATCTTAGCTCTCCTGTCAGAAGGATGGCAAGTGACTGACCTCAGTTCAATCTTCATGCTCCTCACAGACATCATCACATATTCCCTGATTTCACTCTTTTCCGACCTATTGTTGCCACAGAAGTCTTTTCATGTCTTTGGTCAACTGTCATACTTCTCTGGTCCTTCCTCAGCTACTGATTTGCTTTTTAGGAGATAGGGAGATAAGAGCTGTACAGGGAACATTCAAGATGCGGGTGTGCAATGACATAATTATGTTCTCCATTTTGATCCCTATTCCTTTCTTCAGATTCTTAGCACTCAGGTTTTTATTTTGTTTTGTTTTTATTTGACTGCTGAGCATTAAATTCAAGTCTTCATAGATTCAAATTCAGATCTTGTTCCAGAGCCAATCATACAGATAATGAATGTTCCCTTTTCCCCCACATGCATTACATTTGTCAACACTGAATTTCATATTGTTTTATCCACAGTCCTGCAAATTCTTCCCTGTTGCCTCTAGCCTTACTAACACAATAGCATTATCTTTATAATTAACTTTATCATTTTAAATAATAATTCTAAACCTATCAAAATCCCCAAGCCCACACAGTATTAAAGGCATTCAGTATTTCTATGACAGCTATGCATGTACACTTAACATACACAATGCTAACTTCCAAGAAAAACTCACACATCAAAAATAACTAGAGGGAACTGCTTGGTATTATTTTAATATTACAAATCCAGATGTTGCACACCTCCCCCAGAAGACTGCAGAAAAACAAAGAACCAAATGGACAAGATAAAAAATACGAAGAGATTACACAAAACAAAATTACCATGAGACAAATAAGCTAGAGATCCTATTTGAATTCCAGCCTATCTACACTATGAAATCATTGCATCTTTGTTACTCTGAACATACTGTATCATGATCCTAGTCTACTGCATCCATTTCCTTCCCCTGGGACACAGAAGTTAAGTCTTACTAAGTGGCTCTAAGGACGGATACCGCTGGGGAACAATGGACTAAATAAAGCCTAAGTAAATGAGGCTGATCAGGCACGACTGCACATTAGCAGAGCCTGGCCCATTAGGAAGCTACCAACAGAATAAAGCAGCTAGGCAAAAAGGATACAGTAGTAGAAATGGATAAAGGGTCAGGACCTTATTGGAAGCACCTTCTCCCCTGTGACACAAAGGTTGTGGCAAGAGTGGAAATGTAACTATTTCTACTTTACTATTTCCCAAATACCTCTGCGAGGAAAATGCTATCCACCAAAACACAAAATGTTCCTAAATGGGGGAAAAGAAGCTGAAGTGAGAGGCAACATGTACAGGCTATGCTTTCTCTAGTGACTTGAACTTCTTGTGCTACTTAAGCAAGAGTGATACTGTGTTAGAATTTTACACAAGTAGTGTCATTGTAAACATTATTCTTAATTACATAATGAGCTATCATTAGGAATGACCACACCAAGCCAAGTTTGGGAGGTAAAAAATGTGTGTGCATGCACTTTAAAGCTCCAGAAAGAAGCTCTGAAGAGACACCGCATGTCCTACTACTTCATTTTAATAAATCAGAAAGTTCTTATTCTGGCCTTATCCATCTCCCCAGGTATGGCGTCCAACAAAAAGATGTCAAGAACTTAAAAGTTCAGTATGCCTTTACAATAACATTGCTTTTTTTTGATGTAGAGCTCAGCCAGTGAAGAGTGGAACGCATGACATGTAAATTCTGGAAATCTGCAATGCTCCCTGTGCCACTTCACCCATTAACCCATTGGCCTTGCAAGTACAATTTCCCTGTGCAAAAACACACAAGGGATAGAAGTTTTTTTTGAAAATAAGTTTTCTGAGTCACATTTTCTAGCACCTGTTTTTCACCTTAGATTTATCCTCAAATTCAGCCCTAATTTAATCCATGTCTGTCCTGAATTTAAAAAAAAAAAAAAATTCTTGACTGTATTGCATTAAATAGGTCAGACGCCACCATCAAAAACCTGTGTGCTGCTTTTATTTTTTGGGAAGCAATATAAGATATGTTGGGTATGATGTGTAGCTATTGCTTGCAGAGCCATTAGCCCACATGCTTCTTTAAATTAGAGAAGCCAACAGATTTATGCAACAATTCTCTGTGGGCAGTATCTGCTTCATACCCATCAAGTTAATGTATCACTGCCCTTGCATAACTCACGGTAGCACTGAAATTATTGTTCTTTCTGTGTTTTAGATCACTGCTGCTTAACAATGCTCTCTGGGGGCTTGCAGATTTTAGCCTGAAGAAGGCCACTAGTCTTTCCTTATTTTTAGACTATTAATAGCCTGGGCACTGAACACTTTGGCCACCTGGGATTCAAAGGTGTATTTTAAATGGAAAGCTTTTTGAGTTGCTCACTTGTTTCATGTGAAAATATTCAATAAACAAGTTATTCTACAAGGAGTGAAATAAGTGAAGACTTGTGCCCTCTGCTTCTATCTATCCCCCGTAACAGCCCAAATCCCATCATTTCTTCCAGGCAAGACAACTGCATTTGTGATATCCAGGTCAGACTTAAGTGTGTGATGATAGGCCAATCAGGACACAGGCTACTTGGGTAAATAGTGCTGCCAAACAGATGACAGTTTTGCCCACCTTTTCTCAAGTGGGGGTATTAATTCATATTCCTTTTCTTCCCATCTTCACAACACTTAAGAGCATAATTATCTTTGAGACTTCTACCCCCTTCAAGTTCAGTTTAATTGGGATGAAGGATTCGAAAGTTATTACTGTGTGGTCTATCCATCTCCACTGTACACCTTATTTGCCTAAAGAAACGGGCCAAAAAGCAAAACAAATCTAATGTAATGTTGGAAAACACACAAGCATTCAGCACACCCAAAAATTTAGTATCAATACACCCCACCCGTCTTTAAATACACACCAAAACATACCGTTTTTTCCTCATTTTCAAATGCTTCTCTTGCTTCTTCATAGCTACAGATTTCTTCTCTGCATTCATGTTCTATGTCACCTTGCTTTAATTCTTCCAAAAACGTGTTGGCTCTCGGGTATCTTTTTAACACAGAATTGGCTTTGTCCTCTGTTAAGAACACTGAATAAGAAGAAAGACAACAAAGGTCACTTCTAAAATAGGTATCCAAAACCTCATGCTAAAACTGCTCAAAGAAAATGTGCTTTTGAGAAATAAAGAGCTTTTTCAAAGTCATCCCATTTATTTAATATGATAAAAGGCTTTTCCTAGGTTTTATTCACTATTGTAAGTAGCTGGGCCTACAATTTCAGTAGTTATTGCTATAACGTCATAAATGTGATGGACCTCAATTCAGCGTCACAGTCACGTATGCATAAACAAGATTGAAGCCGGTGCCTAAAAAGGGTGCTCAGAAGAGAGAGACAGGCACATGCTCAGCTCAAGCAACTTCTTAAACTAAGATGACACAGAACAAACAAATCCTGCTTGTGAACACCCAAGAAGATATTTGCAACTGCCTGAGGGCATCACAGCCAGAATGCTCTGAAGTTTTTGATGTAAATATTTATGAATACTACCCAGAATCATATACACCAGAACAGCTGCATTTATCAAAGTTTAAGTCTGTAAGTTTTCTTAAGCAACTCTGAAGCAGACTTGCTCCCTTCACTCCAGAAATGTCAACCCTGAAATAGTGACTCTTCTGGGGGTGTGGGGGGAAGTAGCATCTTTTTAGTTCTTGAATCATACACAAAACCTCACCTTATTTGACGAATCAAATAAAACAACCCCAAAAGGCAACCAACATTCTGACACAGGTATTCTTTACTTGCTTTCCTTGGTTTTCTGTTCAAAGAAGAGAGCTGGAAGCAGCCTCTTTTCTTCTGATGTTCCAGCTTTCCCTCAAACTCCTTGACCAAATGATTTTTACAGTAACATGCAGCAACTGGAGCACTCCAAAATCCAGCAGACTGAATTACCCGGGAGGTACATCTGCAGTGAATGATACAGAAGTTCTCCAGGTATTTCAGGTCACGAAGCAAGAACATTATGTCAGTGCAACACTGTTCTTGGGCTCTCACTGCCAGCAAGGGGGCTAATTATTCACTGCGCTGCCACACTAATACACCCATACCACTTTCCTGACTTATGCAATCATTTCTGCATTTGTTCATTTACAGCTAGTCTGGGGCCACCGATACACTACGAAGACAAACAAACACTGTCTAGTGAAGGACAAAGGCTGACTGGTTTAAGCAATGATTTATCTATAATTTTATATGAATCAGTTGCTGGTTTGTTTTTTTTCTTAATCATCTGATTTTGAATTTTTAAAAAGGATGGCAGCAAGTCTACAAAGATAGTCACTATACTTTTGCTTTCTCGTAAGACGGATGGGGTGGCATTTTTCAGCAATGAGACTACTACCATAATTAGGCTGATCTACTTCAATTTCATTTTGTTTAGTCTCTGTGGTATACTTTGTTATAAATCGCTATACAGTCATCTTCTGTTTGCAAAGGATTAAATGAAGATTTGACGATTAAATTCTAAACACCAGTCACCCCTATACTTTCACAGTTGAATACATGTGGTACGTACATGCACCACACAAATTACACTATTCACGATGTTGCCAGAGGTTCAGTGCATACAACTCTACAACTGTATCTATTGCAATTTTGGTTTTCTACAGCACCACAGGTGAGCACATGGGCATCTCCTATTGTGTAAGTTCACTGACTAAATTACATAGAAATTAATATTCAAAAATCTCTTCAAAAAGGAAAGAAAAAAAGGATGGCTTCTTTCCATTTCCCACACAATTCTCCTGCCTTCCCTTTAGGCCTGAAGAACTTGGTTTCTTTCAACATGGCTCAGTGATCACCTAAACGTGATGAGATGAAAGACTTGTCCACATGAGGAAGCCAGCACACAACCACGCATGGGGATGGACTGCCATCTACTTCTCACCAACTCCTCCTGTGGGCATTCCCGAAGTGGAACAAGCTACAGCCCAGACTCTCTTAAGAGTGTCCGTATGTGGAGCCACCGAAGAGTAGATAATACACTATAAATCAAGTTTCCCTTCCTTCAGCAGATAAAACCTAGGGAATTTCATTTCACAGCTGGAATCCGCCCCTGAAAATGGCAATGAGACAAACTACAACAGCTTTGTACTGGATGCAGAAGGAAAAGAAATAGAGAGGAAAATGCAGGTAGCTGAAAATACCCTGGTTTAAAGCTTCTGGCTCTCAGAAACAATATACAAATCTTTGTTTCTGCAAGCACTTTCCAATTTACCAAAGAAACAAACCGAGAATGAAGGTTTAAAAGCTGGTATGTTATGTAATATTGCGTTTGATACACATTGGGATGAGTTTCTAGGTAATAGTCTAGTTTTCCAAAAAGAGCTAAGCATACATTTCTGCTTCAAAATGCATTGACAAAGAAGAGCAAGGCATTAAAATAATTCAATATTCAAGAATGGCCAATATATGACTATCTAAAAAAACCCAACTTTTTTATTTAGCAATTCGTTGTATTCAGAAAGTGTCTCTCTTCTTTCACAATACAGTATAGAAAATGCATACATCACAGAGACAAAAAAGCATACTGAGGAAAATAAACCACACTCCATATTAATTCTGAATGTATCTGACAAATAATGATCTATGATTAGTCCAGACCAGGAATGGCTTTTGATCCTGCAAGGCTGGAAAAAATGAAGTATATTAATTTGCTTGTTTTGATTTGACATTTTTAAAGGTCTGCACGCTCCTAGTGACTTCAAATCCTGCTGAGAAGTCAATACAAAAGTAGCAAGGAAACAGAAAAACATACACTGATCAAAGCAATCTTGATGGAGATACTGACTGAAACACTGTGATTTAATGAGAACCAGCCATTGCTTGATGAATCCTATAAAAAGAGATAATGGAACCATATTGCAAAAACAACTTTGACTTCTTAGTATTCCAGGACCATCACCATGTAGACATTCAGTTATAATTGCATAGGAGTGTGTAAAAAAAACACTTTGGGTTGGATGCCCACCTAGCCAAGCTACAGCGTGGCTGAATTCACTGCAGCTGTTACTATGGAGCTGAAGATGATCAGGGAAGAATGGCATGTGGCAAGAATAAAGTAATGAAGCAAGATAAAACTTATTTTTCACTTCGTTAAGGGCATTAACTAGCAAATACAAGATAAAGGAAAAATCCAAATTATGATTTTGGCATTATGTAAGATAGACACAGAAACAAAAAATCTGAAGTCTCTTCCTCTCCCTCAATTTTTGTAGAATATAGATGAAGATATACAACTGCCAAATCTAATGCATTGGAATACATGTTTATTTCTTCAAACATGCTTGTGCTGTGTGTGCAACTGTAATACTTGGCTTTTAGCAAGTTTTTATGCATCAGAAAACTACAGAAAAACCATTCCAAAGTCTTAGTTTGACTTACTGTTATTGAAGAGAGCAATACAGTCAGATCAGTCTGTTATACACTCTCAGAAAAACCTGTGTGCTATCATAACAGTGAATAGATACTCTAGCAACATGAAATTAAATCAGTATCAGAAAAAGACAGGCAAGGACATGAGAGGATAAATACGTCTCAGCCTGCCAGCTGAAGCTGTCACAGGCAAAGAAAATAGGGTTCAGGTCTTTAGTGGTACAAGGAACAGAGAACAGCAGTGTGGGAAAAGTATTCTGGGACACAAAAGTGTTGCCAAAGCAAAGCCCAGGGCACCCAGGACACCAAAACCAGCTCTACTGAGACCATTATTGAGGCTTCCTTTTTCTGACTCCTTACTGACACCCAAGCAGATTAAAACCACCATCAAATACTAGAAATAAACATTTAATTTTAAATTCAATGCTGCAGCTACTGATAAATTTGAGTATTTCTGTAGGTGACCTTAACAAAAGTACTTGGTTTGCACAGGGCAGAAGGGAGAAAAATGTTTTGAGCATTTACATATAAAGCTTAAAAGTGACTTCTGGTCTGAGATTCCGGAGTTACTGGGAGAAGCTTAGAAAAAGTTAAACTAAAGTACGCAAAGCTGGAAATTCAGCTCTGTGGTCTTCACTCTGCAGCCAGCTTTCAAAGATCCACAAATAAGTTTGTGATGATTATTATGGTCTGCATATAATATCCCTGTCAGAACCGCAGTATGATTCCAGTTCAGTTTAGTGTGGGCAAAGATCTGCATCATATGTAACACCAAAATCAGTTCAATAGCAGAGGACATTTTTTGTGCGAACTGACTGGGATTTTGAGCACAGGACAGTTTTGGGGTTTGTTAATGCCCACTTCATAGGGAATAACAAAGAATGCACACTCATCACTAAGTTAACAAACTTACCACTATCCATGATGATTACTGTCAAGGCAGGGAACTTGCAAATCTCAAGTCTGTAAACAAAAGAGGAAACCTTTTGTTGAGTTCGTGAATTATGATGAACTTGGAAAACTTTCTCTTGATTCCCAAATATTGTGAGAAATATCAGTGTTGGAAACCCCGCGGTCAAGATTAATCCCTCTTTTGAGTTGTACCACTACTGCATGCAGACTAATTTCAGTAGTATAGGAATACTATCCAGAAAAAAGATAACTTGCGAAATGGTGAATGCTTTAACCTTTTTCAAAGCTTTCCATATTTAGAATATGCAAAAATACTAATATGAAATAGAAGGTGTGTACCATTTTAAACGAATCTGCAACCTCTGTTTTACCTAATTGAACTTGAAAGGTATTACATTCTCCACTGTAATTACTTATACCTTATCTAAGACTTAAATTCACTCTGCAGAGATCATCAAGTCAACTTATTATCTTTAGTCTATGGATCAGATTTTTTGAAATCATAATGAACACATGCAAATTCATTCTGAGTCTACTGATTAAAACAGGATGCCTGCAAAAAGTTCAAGGGCAGAACAAGACCTGCAATTTGGCAAAGGAACTTGCAATACATGTGAGGATCCCAACCTGCCCTACAAGAACTTACATGTATTTTATACCTCACCTTGGAAGGAGAACAGACAGGAGATGCTCTCAATCAAGAAAGTGCCTGAAGCTCATTGCACCCACCAGGCAGACAGCCAACAAGAACTGCATCTGAAGGCAGCAATAGTAGTTTGACTGTTTTGAGTTTCTTGGAGTCTTTGTTAGTATGGGAAAAGTTAAGAAAACAAAAGCTTTCAGCAAAGTATGAGAAAGGTGCAGATGTCTAACCAAGTTGGTAGAACACCACGAGGTTAAAGTTTTTTTTACTAATAAATTACCTACTGCTAAAGGTTAGCATTAGTTCTACTTCAGAGGCCAGGTTACACATCAACATATCATACCATACTAATGTCCTCACTCTCCATAAAACCAAAACCTCATAAGCAAACCTCTCCGTAAAGAAGTCAGAACTATGCACAAAGGTTGGCCATAGCTGCTGTAATAAACAAAGAGGGAAAGTTAAGACTTCCAGCATGGCCCATCCAACACTGTAATTTGTCATGCAAGAGCAGACTGCAGTACTTGTAAGGACGGCTGCTGAAGTGAATGGAGCTCTATAAAGACATCCCAGTCTGCTAACAAAATTGTAGGATTGGGACTACAAGACGTGGGATGGAGGAGTAAACTGATTTTAAAGCAAGTTCATCAAATCTCTGTAAAAACAAGTAAATGTGAATAAACAGCAGACATCAAAGCACTCTTAAATCTCACCACCATAGTGTTCAGCTTTTTATTACTAAGTACTGCAGGGTAACAGAAGCAGAGGGCTTAAAAAAATTCTTCAGAATATATATAACCTCTTTTAATAGCCTGAATTTTTCTTAGCAGACTACTCTATGCAAAGACAAAACCGCCTTTGCCACTTGCTTCTTGAATAAAATTAAACTTAGCGTGGCTTTCTAGGTAGTCATATTGTTACAACCCAAGTATCTGTGCTGAAGAAATTGCCAAGCTTTTAATAACAAACAGGTCACAAAAAAATTTGGCTACTAGTGTAGCTATTCTCTTCATCTGTTATACATCATGAGTTTCTTTTACCATTTATTACCCTCCAGTTTCAGTTGGCTGCTTTTGCAACAGCCCCACAAGTCAGATTCACAGCAAGAGAAAACCAAGACCCATGAGGGCTCACTCGCTCTGTTGAGCTGCAGTAACACAGTGCATGAAAAGCACCTTGCCAGGCTTCCCCTCTCTAATGGGGACATTTTTCTGCATTAAATTTCAGTTAGTCTTTAATATTTCACCCTTTTAACAAATAACATGGGTGTGGATTTCAACTGCGTTAAAAAAAAAGAGCAAAACACATGCATCCACGTCCATGCTCACTGAGTCACAACTAGACGGCTGTGCCTACTGGGAACTGTGGCGGAAACAAGGGGCCCAACGTGCCTCTCCCCTCATAATGGAACGTTTTCCACCAGGCGCAGAGCATGACACTGCCAAGGCATGCAGTGCTGCCTTGGCACCTGGCAGTAGGAGCTTGCTACATCATCATCTTTGGGAATGAACATCAGAATACTGACATACACAGATTGGGAAATTGGGGAAAATGGAGGAGGAGGAAAAAAGAACACAAAAGAAAAAACACCTTTTATTTTCTTCAGTGGAAATTGATGCAAGTATATTATGGGCTAGTGATAAAATAAAGATTTGCTGAATAGGCAGCAAAACACAAATTACATTTCTTCACCCTTCCTTCATTACAAAAGGAACCAGCGTGCCCTCTTCTAGGAAATATCAAATACAGCTTTCTGGCAATTGCGGTGCAGAAACTTTCCTTCAACAATCTACATTAGATTCTTACAGCAATTACAAGTATTTAGAGCTCCCTGGAATTAATTATGTCCATTTTCCCAAAAATATGTCTCTCATGCTCCCTTGTCTTCCCTCTCCATATCTCCTCAAACTTCTTCATTTCCAAGCTCCCAGAAAACATGGCTATTTTTTTTTTTTTTTGACACCAAATGACTCCCAAACACTCGCTGGGCAAGAGGCTGATTGAGGACACAGGCAATGGTTGCCCTGCCACTACATGGACATTACAGTCACAGAACAGACTCTCCCACCACAGAGGAACCACTTGGGTCTTTGCCCTCTACTTGACTGCCCTTTCCCCTAAAGGGAAGGAGCTTAATTGTATTTTTGGTCCTCTACTCTCTAACAGTCTTGGTTCAAATTGACTAAACAGTTCAAAGGTTGTTTGGAAGAAGGGATCGAACACAGACAAGTACATAAATCTTTTTTACCTTCATAAACCAGCTAATAAAAGTGAAGAGGGCTGGCAACACTACAGGAACATCTTGACTTGCTACTGACTCATTTATTCTTCTACCCAACTCTTTATTTAGCTTCCTGCCTTTAAGTCTTCACGAACCTTACTGAAGGATAGGATGGTCCTACGGTGTCAGAGCAATGTTTTTCATATACATATACAAATGCAAGTACAAAAAAAAAACCCCACAGATAGTATCTTATTAGTAACACCAATGTTTACTGTTTCAGGAATCCCTCTTCCAACTATCTTCTAGTATATTATCCCTTCCACAGCCTCCAAGAGGTTATACATCACCTTCGGCTTGCTTGTGTAAAAAGCGACAACAGGGTGGACAGCATGGATAGCACTATAGCCAAGCAGAGTGTCAAATTCTGAGTTCAACAGCAAGCTGATGTACCTGACTAACAAGTGATCTTTTCTGACTGCCTACTTGGCTGTCAGTATAATGGTAAAAAACAAAACAAAACTAAAACAATCAACCATCCACTTCTAGTAGAAAATATAATGACTCAATGGGAAATACAATGAGTTCTAAAGCATATGAGACAGCAAAGGAGATACAGCAACAAGGCCCATGCTATTTACTAGCAGTACTGCACTCACCACCAAAGGGCTGTAGGATGTTACTGAGGAGAAACATTTTGCATGAAAGTTTAAGAACCTAATATTGAAGTAACAAACCAAGCTGTACATCTCTTTTCACAACTAACCTAAATATTTTTCCTTCAATCCTGAAAGTGCCCAAACCTTGTATACACTATGTATAAGCAAAAAGCATAGAATATTTTTATACACATTTCCCAAGCTGGTAACCATATTCTAGCAGTGCAGTGTATCCCTTAAATTGGGAGGCTAACTAATTTTGGCATTAAAAATCATTGGCTCAAGACAATATTTCTGCAAGATTTTGTTGCATTTGTTAAGATAACCGTAATCTGTTAGCAGGTACATCTTTTCTGGCTACATTTCCTGACTACAAGTTTAATGGAAACTTGCGTGCAGCACGTACCACTAAAGGACAGAAGATCTGACGGAGGGCACACAAGTCCAAACTGCCTTCACTATTCTCACTCACTGACTGTCATGTATTCTAAGAAGACACAACATTGAGAACAAAGCACGTCCTTAGGGAAGGAATTACGAAGAGAAGGGAAAATAAGGATAAGGTAAAGCGGCAGCAGTATTTTCCCTCACTCAGTTTCTCACTTGCTGCATTAACAGGGTCTTTGACCACTGCAAGGCCAGCACCTTTCTCTCACAACCAGGGAGGGATGTGCATTATGGTACCCAGGTAGGGAAGAGGGAAGTGGCTTTTTTCATTCTGCAATACAACTCTAACAGGGGATACAGCTGTTAATTTTAGTTTTGTAATCTGTACAATTAATGAGACTACTGGGATGCAATTTACAACCAGATGGTATACAATTTTTAAAAAATTATAAATATTTAGGTTCTTCGGGAGCTTTTTATGAAAATAGGTACATTCAAGAGACACTGCTAGCTAAAACATTGGTAGGTGTTCAGTCTAAAAATAAACACCCCTTTCCTAGTCCCCAGCCCCAAACCAGGTGCAACATAACAACTGAAATACTCCTGTGGGAGGTTTATTTAGAAGAAAAATGAAAACATTAAATAATTACACAGGAAGACAGATGATAATTATCTGACTTCCATTTATTCAAAATGTGTTATGTGCCTACCTAAAAATCCCAGTCCCACCACATTTTTTGGAAAAAAAATACTACAGAGTGCTACAATTTTACTTATAACAATCTGTTTCAAAAGAACTTTTTCCCCAGGAAAAGTGCACACAAGGATTTACGTGGTTTCAAACACTGAAGAAATATATTGATTTTTCTCTGAACAGAGAGTCCACAGTTTAAGGATATGGAAGAAGCCTGCATCTATTAAGTTTGGTTTGTTTGCAACACCAAGGTTAGCCAGGGAATTTGGGTGGGAATAAAGAGTGATGGAAAACTTTGTAAGCTGCTCTATCAGACAAGGATACAAAAGACTTGTCCACCTGAGACTACACAGGACAAGGATAAGACTGAAATAGAGAACTGAAAAAAAAACCCCTCTCTGCTTTGTAGATGCTATCCAAATACACATTATCATTAATTTTG